CACAATTGCTAAACGTAAAGTTATAAATGCAAGCCATAAACATGACAATGCAAGACGTAAATGTGATGTGATGTGCAAACAATTGCGAGATGTTAAAAGTCAGAATTGTGCAACGTAAACAAAAAAATGAAAGTCGTAAACTTGAAAATGAGACGTAGGGCTCTATTTTGACGATCCATGCGCAAAGCGCAGAGCAAAGGGCCCAAACGCTTTCAGGGCGTGTAGGATCCATTTTCGCTAATATAAGGACGGAAAAATCCGCTTTGCGCCGTATGTTTTGAAAATAAACCAATCAGAGTCTCATCTCCCATTCTCTTTAAGAGCCAGTTGCGTCGTGCCATAAGCGCATTTACTATTTACATGATGCAAAGTAAGTGTAAGTAGAAAAACTGAGCATTTCACTAGCAAGAAAACAGTTAAACAGAGCATCTACCGCGCGAGAATGAGAGATAAGGCATCTCATAATTCACTTTCGCTCTCTTGAATAGGGAAACCTTTACGCACAGACATCAATTAGCCTATAATAATTAATAACTAATAATTTAGTTTGTTAAGCGCAAATACACTACTATAGTTTCAAAACTATTTCTAAATTCAGTTCTAATTTCCAGCAAACGGATAAATGAACAATAATAATGAAGTGTGCTCAAAAACCTGAGTTATATCCTAAAACACATGCTGTGCCCCATATGGTCTAAACCCTGACAGGTGGGCAAATCTAAGCTTGTTTTTAATAAAACAAATATAAATATGGATATAATAAATAATACTGCTAATAATAATAACATTATACAAAAGCAAATTGTTATGAATGAACTGAAAAAGCCTCCCGAGATAAAGAAGGCATGAAGGCAGTGGTTTTTCATATTTATGTAGGCTAGAAAATAATGTTTTGTAATATTTTAATCCTTTATATTAATATCCTACATATATCTTTATTATATCCTATACTGTATATATCCTTAATATTTTATATATTTTTCATATGTAAAGATATTTGCGTATTGCTATACATCTTGTGTGTATTAAACCGTGTGTAAGCGAGGCGCACTCTGTGCCAGACAATAGACCGGCTTTGTTCTGGTCTAAAGAACAGACTATTATAGTTTCTCAAAATAGCAACGTGCCAAAACACGCCTGCTTTTTTAGACCAGAACGCCTATGGGCGCACACATGAGCGCAAATGCACCTTAAAACGACTCTTGCGTCAAGCTGAAAGTAGTAAATAACAATTGCGTTGCGTCTTGCGCCACATTGCGCCGGGTGTATGACAGGACCCGTAAACTCAAAATTGTGATGTGCAAACAGAATTACGTTACGTTAAACTCAGAATTGCGAGACATAAACTCAAAAATGCGAGACATAAATTTAAAAATACACAGCGTAAACTTGCCGTAAGCTCAGAAATGTGATGTGCAAACAAAATTGCGTTACGTTAAAGTCAGAAGTGTAAGGCAATAACTAAAAATGTAAAATTGTAAACGATGTGAATTCTGAAATGTCATGTGCAAACAAAATTGTGAGATGTTAAAGTCAGAATTGCGAGACGTAAAGAACAAATTTGTGACAAACTCAAAAATGCTCTGCGTAAACTTGACAAAAATTCTGAAGTGATGTGCAAACAGAATTTTGAGATGTTAAACTCAGAAATGCAAGAAGTAAACTTAAAAATGCAAGACATAACTAAAAACTGCACGTCCTGAGCTTGAAAATGTGAGACAGTTACGAGACTTTAAAAACAGAATTGCTAAACGTACAGTTATAAATGCAAGCCATAAACTTGAAAATGCAAGACGTAAACTCAGAAATGTAATGTGCAAACAATTGCAAGACGTAAACTGAAAAATGTGAGACGTAAGCTAAGAAATGCATGCTGTAAACTTGACCTGAGTTCAGAAATGTGATGTGCAAACAGAATTGCGATACACGTTAAACTCAAAATTGCGAGTCGTAATGTCAAAATGTGAGACGTAAACTCAAAAATGCACAGCGTACACTTGACGTAACCTAGAAATGTTATGTGGAAACAATTGTGAGACGTAAAGTCATAAATGCGAGCCGTAAGTCACACTAGTATTTTTGATTGTATTTGGACTGTGCAGTCAGTAGCAGCGGCTGTATGCAGAGCAGCAGGTTGGTGTTTCTGGTTTTGGCTCTGCTGATGTGGTTTGGGACTGACCCAGCAGTGCTTCAGCGCATTTGCTCGTTTGTCCTCTTTCTCTTTGCGTTTGTTGGAGTGTGAGTGAGGAATGATTCTCAGCCCAATGCACTGATGGATGGATCTGGTTTCTGATTGTGCTGTCATCATTTACTCACACTAATGCTTGCCTCTGTTACACACAGCACATGATCAGGCTGTATTCATGTGGAGCAGAACCTAATCATGAATGGCTGATTTTAGCTTCGCTTCAGGCCTTCATCAGCCCGTCTGGGTTTGTTTTGGGCTTAGAAACCAGATATAAATATGCCTGTTGTCACTGATCAAGCAAATTTACCTCATATATTTATCCAGTAATTTGCAGCTATTAAATGTAACTATTTAATTTACATGTCTGTGGTTTACTTGTGGGCAGCACGGTGGTGCAGTCGCCTCACAGCAAGAAGGCCGCTGGTTCGAGCCTTGGCTGGGTCAGTTGGCATTTCTGTGTGGAGTTTGCATGTTCTCCACGTGTTGGTGTGGGTTTCCTCCAGGTGCTCTGGTTTCCCCCACAGTCCAAACACATGCGCTATAGGGGAATTGATCAACTAAATTGACCGTAGTGTATGTGTGTAAATGTGAATGGGAGTGTATGGGTGTTTTCCAGTGATGGGGTTGCAACTGGAATGGCATCCGCTGCGTAAAACATATGTTAGATAAGTTGGCGGTTCATTGCGCTGTGGTGACCCCTGATTAATAAAGGGACTAAGCCGAAAAGAAAATGAATGAATGGATGAGTTGTTTACTTGTATGAATAAGGAAATCTAATATTTATTATTCGTACATTTTTATTTTAAACATTCTGTTTATTGATTGATTTTAGTGTTTCAATGTTATATTTTTAAATTTGTATTAATGTGGTTTATTATTATAATTATAATAATAATAATAATTATTATTATTATTAGTTTTTATTTTTAATTATTTAATTATAATTTTTTTAGTTAATTATTTTAATCATTTACAAAATATGTTTTCGTTTAATTCGTGTGTTTTAAAAATTGCTGTTATTTTTCAGTGTGATAATTGATTGTGTTTTATTTCAATTTTCAAGTTTAATTAATTTTGTTTGTTTTGATTGATTTTGATTTAAAACTATTTATTTGTGCAGTTTTATTAGTCAGTTACAATTTATATTCATAACACATTTATGTTATGCATTTTGTGCTCATTATTTAAAAATTGGCACTTTAAATGAATGTTTTCATAATTTAATTATTGTCAAATGTTTAATATGAATCCGCTTTATTTTAAAATAAATTTTTACTTTTAGAATTAATAATCAGTAATTAAATGTTTCTAGTTTAACATCACTTGTTTAATCTTATATTTTACTAGTTTAATTAATAATTATTAGTAATTGCTTTATTTTTATTTATTTTAAAATTTTTCAAAATAAAACAGATTTTTTTGTCTGTTTTTTAATTGATTAAAGTTGCTGTATGTAAGTTTCTGACTCTTCAAAAGCATAAAAACACCATAATATGTTTGCAGATATTTCAGAAACATGCTCAGTGAACATTCTTTATCTGAAAAACAATGCTAAAGTCAGATATTCTGCTTTGAACATGTGCGTAACATGCTGGAACGTCTGTCTTTGCCAGTTTAGCCAACTATATTTCAGCACTCTGGGTTGCCAGATGGTGGAAAACAGCGTATTTAAATCATTCAGTCAGGAAGGCTCTCAAAGCATGCGTCCATGACTGAAATGCGACCTCCGGTGGACAGTAGCAGACTCCGAAATGAGATGCAGATTCAGAGTTCCACATGAGGTTATTAATTAGCAGATAATATAAATATTAGGAGTGTAAACTCTAGATGAGCAGGTTACATTGTAACCCTGTGTCCTAACAGCACGCTATGTGACAAGATATGCAGCGATGAGCAATTTGGCTGTTTGCACCAAACAAAACAGGACAGAAAAGTAAATGCAGCCATTCAGAAGCACAGAATAGAGCACTCACTGCACTCCAGCACAATGGTAAGCTTTATAATCTAATGAACACATATTAAACCTCTTTAACATGGTTAAATGTAGATGCTGAATCACTGATATGTGTTGGCTTGCTCTGAGGAACCTGAGCTGATCATTGTCAGTTTTCTGTTGTTCAGCTGTGAGAAATTGAAGCTGTTTCACAAATATAAATTTCAGGTGTTGGTCAGGTCAAAAACTCACTTTAATATGGAAAATATTTCTTCTATCGGATGTTGTTGCTTTTATTTAAAAAACAGTTCAACTATCCGTTAGGCTGGATAGTGAGGTACATTCACATCAATCTGGCAACCTGCACTTGCGTAGTCTTGTCAGAGGAATGCAATACGGTAAAGTCTAGATCAGATATGCGGCCGGCCGGAAGTGCGATTATGCACATTAATATGCCAGCATTTTTATGACACTGTATAACAATAATGAATAGTTTTACAATACTGTGACCGTTGGGTTTAGGGTTGGGATAGGCATTAAAACATACAGTTTATAGGGTAATTTAATAGATAACATAGATAATACCTTACAACTACTGTTTCTACATTTCTACTAGTTACATACACTAGGTTACATACTGCTCCTTTAATACTCAATGATCTGTTTGTTTCATTTGTTTGTTTTAATATTTAAATCAAATTTAAATCATTTGTGTGGTAACGTCATCTAACGAACATTCGATTATTAATGTGTATCTTTAACTAGTCACATGTGCATGTAAATTGCTGCAGATGTATTGTGTGAATGGTTTGTGGTCCAGGCTGTTGTTCATCATGTAGATCTGACACTCGTCTCCTCTTTTCTGTGTTTCCTCCTCAGTGTCTGGAACCGTGCCGGGCCTCATGGGACCTGAAGGAAAACCAGTGTCAGGATCTGTGCGAGGTGTGTGTGTGCAAATATTATCTTCGTCCAAAATCGCTTACTTGATCACTCGTTCACTAATCCCTAATGTAGTGTATGCTAGATGAGTGCACTATACAGTTCATTCACCCTCCTGTGAATTTTCTTTTGCATTCATTAATTAATTAATTCATTCATTCATTCATGCATTCATTCATTCATTCATCTTCTTTTCACTTTATTTATCAAGGGGTCATCACAGCAGAATGAACCGCCAACTTATCCAGCATGATTTACACAGTGGGTGCCCTTCCAGCTGCAACCTAGTACTGGGAAAGACCATACACGCTCATTCACACACACACTTTTATACTACGGCCAATTTAGTTCATCAATTCCCCTATAGCGCATGTGTTTGGACAGTGGGAGAAACCGGAGCACTCGGTAAACCCACACCAACACGAGGAGAACATGCAAACTCCACACAGAAATTACAATTGGCCCAGCTGAGGCTCGAACCAGGGCTCTTCTTGCTGTGAGGTGATTGTGCTACTCACTGCACCATCACACCGCCTTGTCTTCTCCATATATTTCCCAAATGATATTTACCAGAGCAGGGAATTTAATGTAAAATAAATAATATTTAATTGAAAAATAAATAAAAATGTGAAATAGATGATGATAATTATACCCGTGTCCATATGGACAGAGCCTAAGAAACCTGCAGATACCCTGAATGCAGCTCACCTGTTGAATCTGTGCTGTGTTTTCAGACTCAGTTCCCGAAGAAGCACTACGAGTGTCTGACGAGCTGTGAGTTTCTGCGGTCGGTGCAGACACTGAAGCAGGGCGATTGTCCGGCGGAGGAGAAGGCCAGCGGGTTTGAGGCCGCATGCGTACAGAGCTGCGACTCTGACAGCGACTGCACAAGTCTGAAGAAGTGCTGCTCTAACGGCTGTGGACACACCTGTCAGACACCCAAGAACGTTTATAAAGGTATACGCTCTCTTAAGGACTGCACTTGAAACACTGCGTTCACCCCATAAAGTCGTGAAATCTGAATTGTAATACATAAAAGTTCGAATTGCGAAATGTAAAGTCTTGTAAAGTTGTGAGGTGTAAAGTCAGTATTCCAAGATGTAAAAGTCTGAATTCCAAGATGTAAAAGTCAGAATTGTGAGACGTAAAGTCAGAGTTTTGAGACGTAAAAGTCAGAATTGTGAGACGTAAAAGTCAGAATTGCGAGAATGGCGAGACGTATAGTCAGATTTGCAAGACGTAAAGTCAGAATTGCGAGTTGTAAAAGTCAGAATTGTGAGGCGTAAAGTCAGAATTACAAGACGTAAAGTCAGAATTGTGAGTCGTAAAGTCAGAATTGTGAGTCGTAAAGTCAGAATTGTGAGTCGTAAAGTCAGAATTGTGATTAGTAAAGTCAGAATTGTTAGTAGTAAAGTCAGAATTGTGAGATGTAAAGTCAGAATTGTGAGGCGTAAAGTCAGAATTGTCAGACGTAAAGTCGGAATTGTGAGATGTAAAGTCAGAATTGTCAGACGTAAAGTCGGAATTGTGAGATGTAAAGTAGGAATTGTGAGACGTAAAAGTCAGAATTTCGAGAATGGCGAGACGTATAGTCAGATTTGCAAGACGTAAAGTCAGAATTGCGAGTTGTAAAAGTCAGAATTGTGAGGCAAAAAGTCAGAATTGTCAGACGTAAAGTCGGAATTGTGAGATGTAAAGTCGGAATTGTGAGACGTAAAAGTCAGAATTGTGAGATGTAAAGTCAGAATTGTGAGACGTAAAGTCGGAAAATCGGAATTGTGAGACGTAAAGTCGGAATTGTGAGACCAAATCAGAATTGTAAGACGTAAATTTAGAATTGTGAGACATAAGGTCGGAATTGTGAGACGTAAAATCAGAATTATGAGACGTAAATACAGAATTGTGAAACGTAAAGTCAGAATTGTGAGATGTAAAATCAGAATTGTGAGACGTAAATTCAGAATTGTAAGACGTAAATTCAGAATTGTGAGATGTAAAGTCGGAATTGTGAGACGTAAAATCAGAATTGTGAGATGTAAAGTCGGAATTGTGAGACGTAAAATCAGAATTGTGAGATGTAAAGTCGGAATTGTGAGACGTAAAATTAGAATTGTGAGACGTAAAGTCAGAATTGTGAGACGTTAAGTCGGAATTGTAAGACGTGATAATGTAAATGGATTGTAAAATAAAAAGGTTTTAATTTAGTTTACTCCCCAATATTTTAATATAAATTTATGTATTTATTGTAATCTTTAAATTTTAAATTTGTATTATTTTTTTAAAATTTTAACATATTACTATTATTATTAAATGATATTTAGTGTTCTAGAATTTTTTCCTGGCTTAAAATTATTTTCAAAATGACAATTATTACAAATTTAAGTGCTAATAAGATTGACTAGATTTATAGTCTTTATTAGATTGAATTGTGAGAAATAAACTAAAATTGTGAAATAATTGGTGTCGAGTGAGCGTTATAATATTTTCATGGTGGTGTTTTTATAGTGCAGATTGAGTGTACTGTACGCACGCTCTATAACTCTTCAGTTCTGATGTGGTTCTGCTTGTCAGATTTGCTGGTTTCGCCTCATTTACAGAAAGTCATAAAGGCTTTTATTGAAATCCAAACCCAATCAGCCGGAGTCTGCGATGATCTGCGTGTAATCGCTTCTCTCTGTGCCGCTGCTGGAAAACATTAACAGACCAAACCATGCCTCTCAGATGCGTCCGCTCGCATTTATAATCTTAATTCAACCAATTTTTACCTTCAAACGATTATGAAAAACTGTATAAGTCAGTGCAGTTCGACTAAACATCTGGTGGTCACAAAGTCTGGACCATACACCGATGACAGTTTTTCTTTGTCAAATATTTCCCAAATGATGTGTAATAGATTCAGGAATTTCTCACAGTATTTCCTCTAATATTTGTTCTTCTGGAGAAAGTCTTATTTGTTTTATTTCGGCTAGAACAAAAACAGTTTTTAATTGTTTTAAAGCCATTTTAAGGTCAATAATATTACCCCCCTTAAGCTGTATTTGTTTGGGTTGTCTACGGAACAAACCACTGTTATACAATGACTTGCCTAATAACCCTAACTTTACCCTAATTACCCTAATGCCGAGTTCAGACTGCATGACTTTCAAAGTAGTCGTGTCACAGATGTTTTCACACTGCATGACTATCTGGGGTAGCACTCTGTTGGTGCTGTGTTTTACATGCTTTTACATGCTTTACATGCTTTACATGCTTTTTACATGTTTTACATGCTTTTTTTTATTTGTTTTTATGTACAGCACTTTGGTAATCCATTGTGATTTGTGAAAGTGCAATAGAAATAAAGTGAGTTGATTTGAGAGTTGAGTTTACAATCGAAAGGATCCCCGACAACTCTGTCTAAACTACATCTCTCACAACCAAACACAAATGACAAGTGACATGGCAACAACGCGAGATCACATAACATATGTTTTGTTATTAACCACATAATGAGAAAGAAGTCTTTGGTGGGGTAGAAAGTGTACTTATTTTGCTCTCCTGGCTTTGAAAAGAATGAGCAATTTCCCCTAGACTTTTTTCTTTGTTGTACCGGTTGTGGTATTGCTCAGATGACAAGAAGCTCCAGATATTCTACATGCCAAATATCTGATGGGTGTAGGCGACTCATGGGCGATTCTCTCAGATGGTGTCTTTGATAGTTCACACTGTGTAATGGTTACTCGCGTGAACAAGCACCTATTTACCTGCGATTTCCGGCATTTGTCAACAAGTCAAAATTGGGGTTAAAATCATGCAGTCTGAACTCTGCATGACTTGCCTAGTTAACCTAATTACCTTAGTTAAGCCTTTAAGGGCCCTATCATACACCCGGTGCAAGGCGCGACGCAATTGTTGTTTGCTAGTTTCAGCTAGGCACAAGAGTTGTTTGACGTTTTGCGTCATGCTGTTTAAATAGCAAATGCATTTGCGCTCAAATGTGCACCCATAGGTGTTTTGGTCTAAAAAAGGAGGCGTATTGAGGCGCATTGCTGGCGTGTTGCTATTTTAAGTAACTTAAATAGACTGTTCAATAGACCAGATCAAAGCCGGTCTATAGTCCAGCGCAGAGCGTGTTAGTTGTGCGCCTCGCTTAATACACACAGGATGTACAGCAATACGCAAATATCTTTACATATGAAAAAGAATTAAAGGATTAAAGAATTACAAAACATTATTTTCTAGCCTACATAAATATAAAACCCATACTTTCATGCCTTCTTCATCTCGGGAGGCTTTTTCAGTTCATTAAATTTTCTTTTGTATAATGTTATTATTATTAGCAGTGTTATTTATTATATCCATATTTATATTTGTTTTATTAAAAACAAGCTTAGATTTGTCCACCTGTCAGGTTTTAGACCATATGGGGCGCAGCATGTGTTTTAGGATATAACTTTGTTTTTTGACCACACTTCGTTATTATTGGTCATTTATTAGTTTGCTGGAAATTAAAACTGAATTTAGAAATAGTATGTTTGCGCTTAACAAATGAAATAAATTTTACAATTACAACATGTTTCCCTATCCACGAGAGTGCAAGTGAAAGGAAATAATAGGGAGGCTCATCTCTCATTCTCACGCTATAGATGCTCTGTTTCACTTTTCTCTCTAGTGAAGCGTTCAGTTTTTCCACTTACAAAGTCTGTCATGTAAATAGCAAATGCACTATGGTGCAAGGCAATGGGAATGGGAGATGAGACTCTGATTGGTTTATTCCCAAAACACACCTAAAACTTATTAAAAGAATAAGCTCAACCCTGTTAGACCATGCTCCACGGCGCAAAGTAGATTTTTTTGTCCTTAAAATAGCAAAAGTGGATTCTGACACGCTCTTAATGCGTTTGCGCCCTGCGCTTTGGACTTTGTGCATGGATCGTCAAAATAGAGCCCTAAATGTCACTTTAAGCTGAACACTAGTGTCTTGAAGAATATCTAGTCTAATATTATGTGCTGTCATCATGACAAAGAGAAAATAAATCAGTTATTACAGATGAGACATTAAAACTATTATGATTAGAAATGTGCTGACGAAATCTGCTCTCCTTTAAACAGAAATTGGGGGAAAAATATACAGGGGGGCTAAAAATTCTCACTTTAACTGTATTTAATATAAAATTAATATGAAATATCTATAAAAAATTTTTTACAGCAGTGTAGATACAACAAAAAATGTTTAATAATTGAACCAATAATGGTTGTATTGAAAGTAAATGTAAAAAAAAAAAAAAAAAAAACCTTTCTGCATGTCTATGTTAATACTGACAGCACGATTTTTTAAAAAAGTGAATTAAATTATTGGCGGGGACATTTTAATAGTTGCTGGATATTGGTGGGGAAGCGTCCCCTCTGTCCATGCTAAATCTACACCCTTGGACAATCCATATTGTGCCAGTCAGTTTTACTTTTATTAATTTAATCAATTACTTTGACCACAATGAGCCAGGCTTTACAAACTATTCACAGCGCTGAAAGTATTCCCCTCAGAAGAATAAACTCAGTCGGAAAGAAGAGAGAACAGAAACTGATTGTGAGAGTGAATCTTATGGAGCGATGCACTTTGTCTGTGCAGCCGGTGTGTGAGTGAGACAGCCCGCAGCCCTCCGGTATATGCGGACACTTCCAAAACTGAGCAGCACAAAGGGAAGAAATCAGTGCATTAAGGATCTGTTCAGTGTATTATTGAGCCTTTTCTCATTTAAAGTTTCAGGTAGGTCTACTTTGTGTGTGAAGAGCAGATAACAACCCTCTCTACTCCAGCGTTGCGAATGTGATCTGCTGATCTAACACACAGAGCACAACATGACGTAGAAACGGCAGTAATCTCCATGTTGCAGGTCAAAATGAAGCCATTTAATGCAGAACTGAATGCATTTCACCACTGATTATTTAAACTAACAGGAACAAATAGTCTTGGAGAGTTTTTCATGTTGTCATGAACGCGAGACACAGTTTGACTTGTGAATGAATGGAGAATGACTGAAAGGTGCAGTGGCGGGAAACGCTGAACTGAACATGAATTTAACCACTTGAATATTCGTCTGTGCTTCACATTAAACTATCAGAACATTTCGGATATGGTAGCCCTACATGACAACTTTCTTGTGCTCTTTAATAGGCTACCTTCATGGCTTAGTTGGCTTAAAAACGCACTATGTATAAGATCGAATGTGAATCAATACCAGCTGGCCGATACCCAATCCAGCTAAAATATACGGTATTAAAGCCATTTCTGATCCAAACGTCGGGATCGGTGCATCTCTAGATAAAATTTTTGGCGCGTCTGCCACCAAAACGGTCACAATTTTGAGCCCTATTAAAATAAACATTATCTGCAGTGCTGCTCTCTTCCCTGCTCCGCTGATTTCTGGATCGTCATGTGGAAGAATTTATATTTTTTATTGTATGGATTGAGGCATGTACGGGTGTTTGAGCTGCGGCTGTTGTGAAATCCTGCATGTGTTTTCCTGCGTCAGCGGCTCTTCATAACAGCTGTAACGAATCCACAGCAGAGCCTTTTCTTCAAAAGCTTTGTGCTTAATAAACCTCTGATTTATGACATATGGAGTCATTTCAGATGTCTGCGAGGGTTAAGTGGAAGTCAGAGGCGCACAGTACAGATTCAGCATCAGCGCACACGCTTTTTTATTAACGTTTTACACTAAAGCAAAATTATTCGCTCTCTTGTGAAGTCTTTATTCTGTTGCAGATATTTCCCAAGTCTTTTAATAGAGCGAGGAGATTTTCACAGTATGTCCTATAGCAATTGTTCTTCTAAAGAAAGTCTAATTTCTTTTAGTTTGGCTGCAATAAAAGCAGTTTTAGGGTCGATATTATTAGCCGCCTTAAGCAATATTGGTTTTGGATTGTCTCCATGACTTACCTAATTACCCTAACTTTACCCTTATTAACCTAGTTAACCCTTTAAATGCCACTTTAAGCTGAATACTAGTGTCTTGGAGAATATCTAGTCTAATATTATGTGCTGTCATCATGACAAAGAGAAAATAAATCAGTTATTAGAGATGAGTTATTAAAGCTATTATGATTAGAAATGTGTTGAACAAAAATCTTCTCTCCGTTAAACAACACTTGAGAAATGTATTTTATTAAAGAATAATTTTGACCTGTACTATATATGAGCAATATCACACGAGTAGCAGTGTGATATGGCTGTATATGGGCACTGCTACTAGAGCCCAAGTGAGTGCCAATATACAGCCATATTGCACTGCTTTGAGTGTAATATTGCGTTTATACAACAGTTTGACGGCATAATCATGTGCTCTGATGAGTCTCCATTTCTGCTGCCACATTCGGATGGTCGGGTCAGAATTTGGCCTCAACAGCATGAAAGCATGGATCCATCCTGCCTTGTATCAGCGGTTCAGGCTGGTGGTGGTGGTGTAATGGTGTGGGGGAGATTTTCTTTGGGTCCATTAGTACCAATTGAGCATCAACGCCACAGCCTACCTGAGTATTGCTGCTGACCATGTCCATCCCTTTATGAGCACAGTGTCTTCATCTTCTGATGGCTACTTCCAGCAGGATAACGCAGCATGTCATAAAGCTCAATCATCTCAGACTGGTGTCTTGAACATGACGATGAGTTCACTGTACTCAAATGGCCTCCACAGTCACCAGAGCTCAATCCAATAGAGCAGCTTTGGAATGTATTTTCAGTAGCTTGTTGAATCTATGCCATGAAGGATTAAGTCAGTTCTGAAAATAAAAGCGGGTCCACTAGTAAGGTGTACCTAATAAAGTGACCGGTGATTT